CCGTAAAATTATAGAAGATATGTCGGGAAAATCGGTTGCATACATATGTGCCACTTCTTGAAGACATCTAGTGGCAAGAAAACTAGCAGAAGCAGTACCGTAAGTAACGGTGTTTAAAGTATAAGTTTCGAGAGAGTTTGTATGATTAGACCGCCATATGATCTTTTGTAAGGAGCGTTCTTCCTCCTTTATCAGAATTTGTCGATACATCTTTTCTATATCAGCTGTTACTACAAAATTATGTTTACGAAAACGTGAGATGATAGTGAAAAGATCATCTTGTAAATTAGGTCCAACCATAAGAATGTCATTCAGGGAAAAACCTGAATCTGTATTGGCAGAACCGTCAAAAACAACACGAATTTTATTGCCTTTATAGACACAATGATGAGGAAGAAAGAACTCATAGCCTGTGGTTTCAAAGGGTGAAACGGACATATGGTGTAAGGATAAATATTCATCGATAAAACGAGTGTAATCATCTTTTAATTCAAAATTCGCATTAAGTTTCCTTTCGAGAGAATAGAACCTTTTTGTTGCTGTAGTCTTAGAGTCGCCTAGATTGTCGACGGAAGATTTCAAGGGAAGTGATACTACAAACCTACCAGAAGAATTAAGAGAGGTTGTTTTTAAGAAGTGATCTTCACAAGAAAGTTCTTCGTTAGACAAAAATTTTGTTTTTGGGCATTCTTCAATTTCCCAAAATTTTTGAAGTTGATCTTCTATGCTTAACTTGTTTATGGTCGACAAATGGCATGTAGTTCTGGCTGCAAGGGTATTGTTTGGAAATAATGGACCTGAGATAATCCATCCAAGTTTAGTTTTTTGAAGAATCGGTTGTCCAGGTGATAATTTAATCTGACCAATACAAATTAAATTCCAGAAGATATCTGCACCGATAAGAAGATCAATAGGAGATGAAATATTGAAGTCTGGATCGGCCAGAGTAATATTAGAAGGGATATTAAGTGTTCTCTTATCGAATGTGACAGAAGGTAAATTTCCTGCAATTTCAGGAAGCACTAAGCAAGAAATTACTTGAGAAAAGTTTAAAGTTTTGGACTTAAATTTGACCGATGTTCTGTAGCTTACAATAGAATTTGTTTGGTTTATACCAGAAATAGAAAAATGTGTTTTGGTTGTAGGTAACCTTAGAAGATTTAATGGGCGCTGGGAAATGAAATTACTTTCCGAGCCGTTATCTAGAAGTGCACGAGCCTCGTGTTCATTACCTGAGATGTCAAAGACGTTAATTTTTACAGTTGACAGCAAAGTAGTAGAGTTGTGCTCAAACGAAATGTTACGTGCTGTCAGTGCATTAGACCCTTCTGATGTACTTGAACTAGAGCAAGGTAAACTGCTGATGGTTTGATTACTGGTTTCAGTAAGCTTTTGTGAATTACTTTGAAAGTGTAAAAGTGTGTGGTGTATTTTTCCACATTTACGACACCCGGAAGATTTGCATTCCTTTGTGAAATGACCACTACGAAGACAATTTATGCAAAGTCGCAAGCGTTTTGCTTCATTATGTCTTAATGACGTTTCTAAATTGAGAAAATCAGGACAAGTGTAAATTAGATGTTTTTGTTTGCATAAAGAACAGTTGGAAGAATTATTCGTTGAAAAGAAATTCTTGGATTTGGGATTGCCTGTAGATGAAAATTTGGGACGAGATTTTTCTTCTTGATGATTAATAGATTCTAAGACTCTACATTTACCTTTTAAAAACTCAGTTAAGCTACTCAAAGTGGGTAATGTGTTCTTATCGTCTTTAATTGACAGTTCCCATTCTTTGTGTGTGGCATTGTCTAGTTTCGTGGTAATTAAATATATAATAAGGGCATCCCAAGATGTTGTGTCTAAGTCTAAGGACTCAAGAGAGCGTAAATGTCTTTGGAAACCATCAAGTAAAGTGCGTAGATCATGATGCGAATTTTTTGAAACGTTTGGTAGATTAAATAATTTTTTAATGTGATTATTGACAAGAAGAGATTTGTTTTCGAATCTGTCTTTTAGTAACTCCCACGCAGTTTCATATGTTGCCTCAGAAATGTCCAAGTTACGTATTGTTTCTGCGGCAATACCTTGTAAAGATAATCTTAGATAGTGGAATTTCTGAATATTGGAAAGTTCTGTATTGGTATGAATGATGGAATTAAATGTATCCCTAAAGAACAACCAATTTTCATAGTCACCCTCAAAGGAGGGCAAGTTAATAGCGGGTAACCTAATATTAATAGATCTTTGTGAAGTATTTTCGGACGAAATTGTCGAATTTGAAGCTTGAGCAGCCTGACTACAGGGTTTTGAAAAATTGGTGTCAATAAAATCTCGCACAGCGCTAGTAATATGGAAAAACGGCGTTTCGAAAGATGACCTTTCAACACCATGAATAGTATCTGCGTTGGCAGTATAGTCCTCATCAGAGGCCTCAATAAGTGATTGAGCGTTGTCAAAATCGTCAAAAAGTTTCTCAATTCTATCAAGTCTAAGTTGTAAATCTCTAAAGTTAATTTGTTCTAAAGGTTTGTTTTTGATAGAATTAAAATACGTACTAAAACGGGTTACAGAACCTTTGATTGAAGAGCGTTTAGTTTTTGCTGTAGCGATGTCAGCCATAGTAACAATATAACTTATTCACAAAAATAAAAATGTATGTATGTATATGCAAAAAACAATTAAAATCAATTATGTAATGTTGTGTGTAAAGATGCTTTGCGAGTCAATAAAAAACGTTAAAGATAATATTTCAACTTTGTAATAATTTATAAATGTAAAATGAAAAAATTGAAATAAATTTAAGGACGCTATGTATTAATGTATAAATGAAAATATTGAAATCTCTAAATGTGTTAAAGGATTAAAATACCTGATTCTAAAAATAAAAATTTCCACTGAATTAAATCAAATACAAATGTACCCTTTTAACGACCATAAAAGATAAAGTAGGTAAATAAAGGAAATGTGCACTAACCTTTGACGAGAGAATATACCTGCGTCTTCCTATGATAAACTGTGTGAACGGGACGATGCGTCGAAAATGAATTCAGCTTACATGGAATGAACGGCCAAAATAATCACTGGGTAATCCGCTCGAAAGACCAATTATGTTGGGGTGTAGGGTTGAATCTTATTGGAATTTCACGTAATAATACACAAAAACAAATCACTTAAACTAAAACTGTATTGAAGTAAAAAATGGCACATGTAAAATATGTTGCAAACAATAAATTTAAAAATAGCGTCCTTAGCGTAAGGTGTTGTGTTGACTCGAGATGAGCGTGGACTGTTACTGGCTTCTCCTCCGCTACTTGCATCCCCTCTCGAGGGGTGTACTTAACTTGAGGTGTAATATACGGGGTTGCTCGAAAGTTTTAATATTAAAGTTTTAACATTCATTTTATATAGCGCGAGAATATGCTTACTGGACAGGCGAAATTGAAGAATATACTGTTCTTAGATGAGAGCAGAATAGCCCTAAAAGGTCCAGATGGACGACAACGTGTCTATAGGCGTCAAAATGAAAGGTTTTCTGCATGCGCTATAACCGAAACAGTGGCTTACCGAAAAGGGTCAGTAATGATTTGGGGAGGTATTTCTTACGAAGCGCGTACTGATCTTGTTATGTTAGGTAGAGGCAGTGTGAATGCCCATGTATACATGCAAGAAGTACTCCATTCATTGGTGATAACTTCAGACTAATGCATGACAATGCACGTGAGTACCTTAATGAGGTGGTGTTTCAAGTTCTATCATGGCCAGCACACAGTCCCGATCTTAACCCAATTGAGCATATCTGGGACAACCTTAAAAGATGGGTAAGAGCAAGAGTACCAGCACCTGCATCCTTTGAAGGGCTGAAGACAGCTGCGGTAGAGGAGTGGCACAATATCCCCCAATCTGATATCCAGGATATCATGAATGGATTGCCAAACCGGCTCCAAGAAGTTCTAAGGGCTAGAGGCGGCAACACTTAATATTGATACCCAATTTTTTTTCAATTAGACTTTGATTTCCAAAATATTTTTAATTTAAATTTTCTTCGAAGATTTTATTCATTGCATTTTTACTGTAACAAATGACTTTTTTTTAAATATTATTTTTTCTCTTCCGCGGTGATAAAAATTGATAAAAAACATGTCTACCTAACTTTTGTATTATCCAACATAAGTGAATGAATCAAAAAATAAAATGTTGAGAAAATATGAGGCTATATTTAGGTTTTAATTTCAATATTTTATAAATGCTAGAACTTGCTATAAATGCTAGAATGCTAGGGTGATGCAAACTTTAAGAAAAAATCACAGTTTAATTCGTACATCCGGTATACAATGAAAATTTACCTGTTTAGCAACCATATTATTATAGCGATATTGTCAAGGAATAAGGCTATAACATATTAAAAAAATCACTTAAATCGGACTACAGGTTTAGGAGAAATAAGACATCAAAAATTACCCATTTTTAAGGTGGCCGGTTAATTTTTTCCCAGAGTGTATTTAATTATTATTTTTGACTAGCAGTGTATTTCATTGCCCTATTTTTAACAATCATGATGTAAATAGAGGTATAAATAACAAATTCGGTTAAATGTTGACCAGCTGATAGCAATGGTTGATAAGAATACATATTCGCAGCCGTACGAAAAAATAAAAATAAAATCTCGGTGGCTTTTATCACCGTAGGAAACGTGATAAACCGCTGTTCCATCCTGTCACCGTTATACTAAATCCATTTCACTAGTCTACTAGTAACTTAGACCAATTAAAGTGCTGTTTAAAATGACGGTTGTTAAGAAAAAAGTCAAACACACTTATACGAAGAAAAATGGCTATTTGCCACACAAAATTCGATCTCATCCATTTTATTTCATATGGCTGCCGTTAAGAGTGGGCATATTTTTTGTGTTCTTCTGGATAGTGCTTGTTCCAGTTTTGTATATCATCTTGATGGCCCAAGTTCCTGGGTTTGCAGCACTTACTTTGTACTTCTTTGTGGCAATGTTTGTTCTGTTTTTAATAGCCTTGTCAATTTTTGTGTGCCAGTGGAGATGCAAGAACAGTAGGCAAAGCAACATTTACTACATAGAGTATGAAGCATCTGAACCTCAAGAAATGGTGGAAATTAAGAGGAAGCCGATAGTGTTTGAAATGGAAAAAGAAAAGAAGGAAATTAAAAAAGAAACACCGAAGAAAACAGAGATTGAAAAAGAAGATCGTCATAATGTGGTTCATCGTGAAATTAAAGAAAAAACTGTAATTTTCCGAGAGGAGACCAACGTAGTACAACGTCCTGTTACGCTGATAATAGAAAAAGAACCAGCGAGACCTTCGTCTCAAAATTTAAGTTCACCTTTGAGTCCTAGAGAGTTGTTCTTTTTGGATATGTATGAATACGCAAATATCGCGATGAGAAATGCTACCGACAATTTTCTCCAGAAGGAAAGATTGCTATATGATCCCAGCGGACCTGTTCAAAGAGAATATTCGGACAGTTCAAGTGATATTCCGGAAATTCAACACGAAGAACAATATCGTACTGATCAGGCTGTGGTCGAGCAGTCCCCTGTAAGAGTACCGTACCTACTACATGAAACATCTCCCGTTAGCGAGTTAGCTCCTCTTCACTCAAGATTATCGGAAATAATTCATGATCAAACCGAGATTGAAGAACCAAATATTGTTCCTGTTATCAAAAAAACCAAGCCGAAAAGACCGAAGGAAAGTTACATAGAACTCTCGCCAGCTGAGGTAGAATTTCCTCAATTTGGTATAAAAGTATCATCACCAGTCTGCGAGTCAGCTCCAGTTCGCTCAAGACCACTTAAAACAATTCCAGATCATCCCGAAATTGAAGAAATAACTATTGTTCCTGTTATCAAAAAAGCCAAAGCGAAAAAACCGAAGGATAGGGAGTACTTCATAGCCAATGTAGTTCCACAAGAACACTGGACGACTGAGGCTTATTTATTTGTCCAAGATGAGGAAAAAGAACGAAAACCTTACACTATTGTTGTAGATATGGATGGAAGTGACTAAATTTATCTAGTGAAGTGTTTAGTAGTTTACGTTTCGCTTGTTTTAAAGCAAAATATTTAGAAAATAAAGACATGTCGCTACATTTTGGTTAGATCAATGTAATTTTATTTATTTCATCTAGCATTAAAACACTGAAAACTTTTTTTCTACACTTCTACAAAATTTGTTTTGAAAACAAAAGTTTTCAGTGTTTTAATGCTTGATGAAATGAACTTCCATCAAGTAACGGTCGAATCCATCACATATATATTTATTTCCGTTGATCGATGGTGTTATTTGTGTTTTTAAAACTTTTGAACTGTAAGTAAACTATTTTAATGTTTTTTATATCAACAAATACATTGCTTTAATGTATTTGTCAAATGGTACTAAAAAATAAGAAACCATGATGCCTAATTTCTATTTTTACCTGTTGGCCCATTGTCTTTCTCAAAGTTCTTTGACACTCATTGGTTTTTATGTGTTCCATTTATATCTTTATCTCTTTTGCCTTCCTTCTTCTTCTTCCTTCTAGTATGTAGGCTTTAAAGCCTGTTAATTAGCCTCCTAAATTGTTTAAATTGTCGCACCATCTTTTTCTTGGTCTGCCAATACTTCTTCGTCCATTTGGTGACTTATCTATTGCTATTCGTACTATTCTTTCCTCTGCCATTCTACTGATGTGTTCGTTCCACTCCTGTAGTGTGTTCGTAGAATACCTCTCGTTCCTCCTTAGGTTTGCAGTCTTCGGGGCTAGAGATAGATATGACATTTAATTTTTGGTAGTCCATTATGTTGTTCATATGTATTATTCTTTAGGAGATATAACGGCAGTTATTTATGTTTTCTTTAATTTTTTATGGACAAGTGTACCTACAACTGCTCGTGCTTGTTCTTCTTCACTCCACTGTAAGCTAGGAAATATTGTCTATATTCTCTTTGGCCTTTACCTTTCTTCTTGGTTTCTTGGATTGCACAAATGTATATGTTTTTATTTATCAGTTCTTTTATTATCTCCTGGTCTTTGTTGTTGAAAGAAGTAATGTTCCATGTTGCTAATCTGATTGTGGGCTTATTTTTCCTTCTCGTTTTCCTTTTCTTTGCGTGGTTCTTCATCTTAGGTTCCGTCTGATTCCTAGGCTTTATATCGCTTCTTTGAGCCTTGTTTCCTTTTACAATGGGTAGAATGCTAACCTGGCCCATCAACCCTCCTCTTTTATCAGGGCTTGGGACTTCTGAGCTACTCAATCCACCCAGTCATCGCGCTCATAACCCCCAGGCAGAGTTCTTTCTTGCCTTCCTCTGGGTACTTATTTTAGTACTCGTTTTGGTAATGTATGGCTTTCTTTTCCTTGTACATGCCAGTACCAAATGCGCTTTCGGATTTATATCTGGTTTTCTTCCTCTTCTAAATCCTTAGCTTCCATAGCTTCCTTTTTCCTTTTGTCTGCTGTTGGCTCTCGAAAGAGTATACTGACGTCATGTTTCAATTGTTCGGATTGTGGATCTTCATCCTTCTCCGTCTAGGGAAGCTTTGTGGAGATCATGCAAGTTTGTTCGTAGCTATTATTTTGTATCAATTTTAACATACTTATTTGATCAGTAGTTGCTCTTCCTTGGTCTAAAACCTTCCTGGTATTCTCCAATCACTTTGTTATCATATGTTATTAATCTTTGCCTAATAATTTTTGCAAGTATTTTATAGACTACTTCTAATAGTGCTATACTTCTATAGTTTTCGCACTCTGTTTTGTCTCCTTTTTTTTTATAGATAGGACAAGTAAGAGCGCTGTCCCATTGTTTCAGTATCTCTTCCTTTTGCCAAATTATTAGTGTCAAGTGAAATATCTATTCCTTCAATCTTTCGATAGCTTCCTTAAAAATCTCAACTGGGATACACTTTCTCCTGCACTTTTGTTATTTTTTAGGTCTCTTATTATTTCTTAGACTTCATTCAAAGTTGGTTCCTCGCACGTCCCTTCTTAATATTTTTGCCAATTCTCATTTTCCTTAAGTTCCTCTTGTTGATCTGCATTTAATATATCTTCGAAATATTCCGACCATCTGTTAATCTGCTAAGCTTTCTGCTAATCTTTCGCTAGCTTCCTTAAAAATCTCAGCTGGGATGCACTTTCTCCAAGTGTTATTTTTTAGGTCTCTTATTATTTCTCTGGCTTCATTCAAAGTTGGCTCCTCGCACGTCCCTTCTTCATCTTTTTGCCAATTCTCATTTTCCTCAAGTTCCTCTTGTTGGTCTGTATGTAATCATCATCATCATCATCATTCCTCAACCTCTTGCATCCACTGTTGGATATAGGTCTCCTCCATGTTCTTCCACTGTTCTCTATCTTGCGCCTTCGGTATCCAATTTCCGACTGTTTTTCTCAAGTCGTACATCCATCTTTTTGGTGGTCTGCCTCGGTGTCTTTTGTCTTCTCTAGGTCTCCATTCTATGAGTCTTTTGGTCCACCTATTATCATTTAAACGTGCTATATGTCCAGCCCATCTCCATTTGGCTTGTGCAATTTTTTCTATGACATCTGTCACTTTAGTCCTCTCTCTCACTATCCTATTTGGTACCATATCTCTTCTAGTTATTCCCAACATTGCTCTTTCCATTTTTCTTTGGGTTACTCTCAATTTATTTGCAGAATGTTTGGTTAAAGTTATTGTTTCGGAACCATATGTTATTACTGGCAGTATGCATTGGTTGTAAACCTTTTTCTTCAAGCAAATCGGTAGCGTTCCTTTTAGAATATCTCGCATCTTGCCAAATGCCATCTGTATGTAATAGATCTTCGAAATATTCCGCACGTTTGTTTAATTTTTCTGTTGTTTCACCTAGAAATAAGCCCTCTTTGTTTCTGCAATACTGTGGATTATTCTTTGTAGTTTCTCTGGATTTCTTAACTTCTTGGTAGAAATTATTTACCTCTTTGTTCATGTAGGCTTATTCTTGTCACATAGTTTTCGACCGCATTTTGGGCATTTTCTTTATCTCTTTGAAGTTTTGCCCTGTTTCTTCTTGCCAAAACATTCCTACATTCTTCATCGAACCAGTCTTGCTGTCTTTTTATATGCTTTCTTCCTATACTCTTTTCCGCTGCTTCCGACATGGCTTTCTTTATGGTCTGCCAATTGCCTTATCATGTTTGCTTTCAATTAGGACATGATCTATCTGATTTTTTATTTTTCCATCGGGAGAAGTCCATGTTACCTTATGAATGTCTTTGTAATCAAACCTTGTGCTAGCTATCTTCATTTTGTTCTCTGTAGCAAATTCTATTGACTTTTTTACGTTTTTATTTGATTCCTTATGTAAACATCGTCCCGATGTTATTCTTCTATATTTTTCCTCTTTTCCGACTTTCGCAGTCATGTCACCAATGATTATCTTTATATCGTATTTCTGTATATAGAGTGCTTAGCTTTTCGTAGAACTCTGTTTTGGTTTCTAAGTCTTTATCTTCAGTGGGTGCATGTACAAGTATCTTCCTATACGTTCCTCTTACTCTGAAGTAACATATTTTGTCTGATATTGGTTGAAAATTTACAATTGCTTTGTTTACTTTCTCCGACACCATGAATTCCGCTCCAAAATATCTCCTGATCCCCCACTCTTGAACAGTGTGCTCTTTCCTTTTTTTTTATTATTTCATTTCCCAATTGTTTCGTTTCTTGCAGGGCAAGGATATTTTTTGTATATTTTTCCATAATTTGTTTCTTAAAGCTCCCTGCTCCCTGCTCATAAGTACCTCTTATATTCCAAGTCCCAATTTTTATTATTTCCTTGGATTGTTTCCTTTCTTTTGTGTTTATTTTTCCGTTTTCCATGGTCATATTCCTTTGCTTTGCCGTTTCGGTGTCATATCTTTCCGGTTGTTTTTCTTCTAATAGTTGCTTGGCAATTTTTCTTTGGTATTTTCTTTTAGTTGTTGTTTTTCTTCATTCCATATTCATTCTTACTCATTCACTAACAACATCTTATAGCCTACTTTTGTCTGTTTTTCTGTACTTGTTTTTCCTTTGCTATTTTAATTATTTATTTCTGTTTCTTTTTCTTTTGCTGTGAGATCATTATTATGTGATGATCATATTATTTATGTAAAAGTTTCTGTTTCTATGGCATATACTGTTTCTCCTATTTTTGTTGTGTTTCTCCGTTTTATTTGCGCCTGTAGTTCTGGTGATATGAATGTTTCCATGCTTTCTTTTAGTTTTTTATCATCATCTGTATCTATTTTTATACCTGATCTAATAAAACTTTTCTTTTTACTTGTTTTCTCCAGTTGTTCCATTCTATCTTGTAATTGTTGTCGTCGTTTTTTTTTAATTTACTATTTTCCTCCTTTCTCTCTTGTAGTAGTTTATTATTTTCCATTTGTTTTTTTCTTATTTGCTTTAATTACTATTTAACTGGGAATAAGCCACAGTTAAAGATAAAAATACGTTTATAGACGTTTCAATTTCCACTTCGGAAATCGTTCTCAAAATACAAATACTAAATTAAACAAATTTTGTTTTTTGTTGCATAGTGAAAAATTCTTCTAATAATTTAATTTTATCTAACTCATTTATATTGACAATTCAAACATACATTATGCATTTTAAAGTAGACGACTTTAAAATGATATTGCCAATATTGTTGAGTTGCGCTCCTAAGACGACTTTACTTATAAGATAGTTCATTCGATTACATGAAATCAACTTTAACTTGAGAATATCCGTCAGAAAAAAATCATAGCATGTAATTCGTCTTTAAAAAGACAAACACATGACATGATGACAGTAAAATTCTCCTGTTAGTGATTCCATAGTAAATTATGAGGGAAAAACCAGGAAAAAAACCTCATAATACTATCCCGACATTGTAAGTATTTGTTCGTGAATTTAGTTTACCTTCAACAAACATCAAAATTCTGATTTTATATGTTACGTTATTTAAAAAACATAAATGATGTATCCTCTATATGTTACTGACTTACTAATACTGGTATTTTCTTATTAATAACTTCCTCTTTCAATATTGGTAACCAGATCCTACTACATTCTGCCGAGGAATTTGCGACACAATTGGCCTCATTTAGCATAATTAGAGC